AGGGTCTTTTGTTTCAAGTATGGTACTATGGACTTTTCATTTCACCTGTCGTTTCTTGATTTTTATGTTGATAGGACCCATGCTTGGATACGGGCCTGGTTAAATAGTAAGTGCAACCCCACACTGCTTTTTTTTTATGTTCCTTTTAAAAGACTACATGGTACTGTTCCATAGTAGCATGTGCAGCTTTAAGGTATCCCCCAAGCATGTTATTTAACAAATTTGTATATTTTCAATGTTGCTTTTAAGTCGCCTGAAAAGGCCCTCTCCCCGCTGACCGGTATTTTTTAGATCAAATGTTTGTACTAGTACATGCCCCCCATGGCAGTTCCTAGCTATGTTTTACAACAAAAGCTTTCATATTAGTCTTGAGAATGGTGGACTTAAAATTAAACCATTTATCTTCCATAGACTACAGTGTGGTTCTGCGCTAAAGTTCAGGAGATTTGCAGACTTTTTCCTGCCTTTCGTTCCCATTCGTTCATCCCTGGTGACAACTGTGGTCTAGTATTAAGCCCAAGAACTGAATCAAGCTTGTGTGCTTAGTTCTAGGCCTTCAGCTCCTGGGCTTGAGTTCTTGCTATAAAGCAATCAGTAAAAGCACTGTGTATGTAGCAGCACAGTGCAACACAATACTTTCACGTTGTGGCTAAAGCGAAAGTAGTGTGACATTATCTGTGATATTGTTTCCACTTCCTGTATGTATAGCCGTCTTCCTTAAATAGCACAGAGCCTATCCATCAATGTCACTGCAATAGACCATAAACATGAGTGCATGGAATAATGTCTCATCAAGTAGCCCCCGCCCCTTCATTAAAATAAAATAAAAATCAACAAAAATGAAAACATGATAAATTACTTAAAAATACAAAACATCTTTCTGCCCCACTAATCCCTGGGTCCTAACAAATGATTCAAATGCTCTGGATGACAAAACATCCAACACTTAGATAAGCATGTGCAATGTCTTTTGGAATTTTAGCAATCACTAAGTTGTGAAAATGTCACCTTCATGTTATTTCTGTTCGCACAAATCTGACTTTATCTTATCCTAATGGAAGACTATAGATTGGCAAAAAAACGTCACTAGTTCCTTACTGTGATCTGATGTAACTTGATAATGGAAAAACTATTCTGCAGCATTACATTAAAGCAGAACTCCGGATAAAAATTGTATTAACCCTTGCAGTGGGGCTACCCCCGCATTGCAAGGGTTAACTACTCATTTTCATCCAGGGACTAGAATAAAAAAGTTATACTCCCCTGATCCTCTGAGCCAGCTTGCTGTTAGACCGGTCTTTCCAGCCACGCTACCCCTGTGCTGCAGCAGCCTAAGGTCCCCGAGTCGTCACTTTCTATACACTGTGTATAGGACGTGAGGACGCAGAGGGACATAACATTGCTTCAGCAGAGAAGGAGAGAGGCTGGAGGGAGCACTTTCACAGTCGGAATATATCATTTTTACCTGGAGTTCCTTAAAAAAAATAACACTTACTGTATGTGGTATCCTTTTAGTCAGTAGGCTTTGCGAATATACTTTGGAGTTCATATCTAGGGCTGCACAAATTTAGTTTGTGTTGGTAAAAATGACAGGCAAGTTTGTTTTTATTTATATCTATTTTGTTTAAATAAACGTAGGAAACAAAATATATATGTATCCAACCCCACTACCAAATGAAAGCCCTATCTGTCCTGAAAAAAGGTGTATTGTATGCTAAGGTAGCCTGTCCTACAAAAAGCTGAAAGTTATGTGTATAACCAACAGATCTCCAATTGGGATAAAGAGGAATGGAAAAGGGAAAAAAGGTTCTTGGACAAAAGTGGTTAAGGTTGCTGTAGACCAGGGGCGCCCACAATTTTTCGTCTGGAGATCTACTTTTCAAATGACGAGCTCATTGAGATCTACCAACGAAAAAACACCTGCATTCAGGGGCGGGAGGGGGCGTGGGCTGCGCAGGCAGGCCCCTCGCCCACAGTGTGATCGCCTGCATTAGTGCCTGTGTTCCAGTCCAGTGCGAGCCGCAAAAATGCTGGGGGGGCGGAGCCGCTGTGACAGAACGGACGAGCAGTGAGGGGAGAGAGAGGCGCCGGCTGTCAGATCCTGGCCGAGCGTCTCTCTCTCGCCTCACTGCTCTGCATTATAGTGACAGCGGCTCCGTCCTCCGCCCTCCCCCGTCGCCGGTTTCTTCAGGTCTTCTCGGATCCCCGCAGGGGAGAGCAGCGGGGATCCAGAGAAGCGGCGGGAGGAGAGGACATGGCGATCTACCAGTGATCGCTACGCGATCGACTGGTAGATCGCGATCGACCTTGTGGGCACCCCTGCTGTAGACAAATGTCTCAAGAGATGGTTTCCAAATAGTTGTTACTGCACTTTGTACATAGCATGGGGCACAGACCAAAAATATGTTTACACAAACCTACTTCCCGCCAGCTATTCACAATACATTAGTAAGATATTGAAAAGGAGATATAAAATAAAAATGAAAGCAAAGAAAAACTTTGCACTGGCATCCATGTGAAGACTGGAGATGTTAATATAAACACAAGTTGCCAGTTCATGCGAGACCAGTGATATCATGGACAATACATCATATTCAGTTACTTTAAGCTGGTAACATAACCAACACTATAGCCTGTCTGTGCAATAAACAGCAGCAGGTAAAAAATCTATATAAATGTCAAGTGACATTTATTGTGAAGATGGCGTGGATTTCAACAATGCAATTAATAGAATTTCTCAGCATAAAACATCTGCTTTCATTTTAGAATTCTTGTTTCTGTGTTGTTTCTATTCCACTACCAGGATTAAAGTGACACTAAACTCAGGGGTTAAATCTTAAAAATGGATTCAAGTACATTAATTGTTAACAAACATTGGTGCCGACACTGTCCTTCCTTCTGGAGGGTGGCTACTTTTGTTCCTCAAGGTCCCTGTGTGTGTTGTAAAGTAGCCACTAGACATGTAAGCTGGCAAAAAATGTGTTTCGATTTGTCTTGGATTTTTAATTATTTAGTTTTTCGGGATTCGGGTCCGAAAGTCAATTCGGTTTGGGATTCGAACAAATCCAAAATCTTGGTAAATTTCGGATGTGGTAATATTTACGAATGAATTTTCGTTGCAGCAAAATGACATTAGGGGGAAAAAAACACAATTTTTTTTTAAACAGTCTGCAGAAACAATTTTAAAAAAAGCGTGGGGTTCTCCCCCAGTTTATCTCAGACCCTTTAGGTCTGGTAGAAATGTTAGGGGGGACCTGCAAAGAAAAAAAGCGTGGGGTCCCCCTCAAAATTCGGTCTGGTAGGAATTTTGAAAGAGACACCAACGCCAAAAAAAAAAACAAGAGGGGCCCGCTGGAAAAGCACCTTGTCCCCATCGTGATGAGGACAAGGGCCTCTTCCCCACTACCCTGGCCCAGTAGTTGTTGGGGGTCATGCAGGCAGGGGGCTTATCTGCATTTGGGTGCCCCCTTTCAGAAAGGGGGCACCCAAATGCCGCCCCCCCCCCTTGTGATTGAGTAAGGGGTAGTTTTTACCCCTACTCAGTCACCAAAGAGAAATGGAAAATAGTAATGTATATGTGTAGTATATGGTTCTGAGACTTCTTGGTCATCCACCATCTACTGAATTCATCATAGTAATATGCGGCAAATTCTTTAGGTAAAACACAGTAAAAAATAGTTGGCATGGGTGAATCAACAGTGGAGTTTCTTGTGTCAATGAGAGCAGTTAACACTTGGTGAGATATTAAACCCTGTCTCCCAAACTACACTAGTCCCAGTCTTAGTCCGTAGGGTTCAATATTGAGTTGGCCCACCCTTCGCAGCTATAACAGCTTCAACTCTTCTGGAAAGACTGTCCACAAGGTTTAGGTGTGTGTCTATGGGAATGTTTGACCATTCTACCAGAGGCGCATTTGTGAGGTCAGGTACTGATGCTAGATGACAAGGTCTGGCTCGCAGTCTCTGCTCTAATTCATCCCAAAGGTGTTCTATTGGGTTGAGGCCACGACTCGCTAATCCATGTCTTTATGGACCTTGCTTTGTGCACTGGTGCGCAGTCATGTTGGAACAGGAAGGGTCCATCCCCAAGCTGTTCCCACAAAGTTGGGAGTATGAAATTGTCCAAAATGTCTTGGTATGCTGATGCCTTAAGAGTTCCTTTCACTGGAACTAAGGGGCCAAGCCCAAACCCTGAAAAACAACCCCACACCATAATCCCCCCTCCACCAAACTTTACACAATGCAGTCAGGCAAGTACCGTTCTTCTGGCCACTGCCAAACCCAGACACGTCCATCGGATTGCCAGACAGAGAAGCATGATTGGTCACTCCAGAGAACATGTCTCCACTTCTTTAGAGTCCTGTGGCATTGTGCTTTACACCACTGCATCCAACGCTTTGCATTGCACTTGGTGATGTAAGGCTTGGAGGCAGCTGCTCGGCCATGGAAACCCATTCCATGAAGCTCTCTACGCACTGTTGTTGTGCCAATCTGAAGGCCACACAAAGTTTGGAGGTCTGTAGCTATTGACTCTGCAGGCAGTTGGCGACTTCTTCACACTGTGCGCTTCAGCATGCGCTGACTCCGCTCTGTTATTTTACGGGGCCTACCTTTCTCGGCTGAGTTTCTGTTGTTCCCAGTTGCTTCCACTTTGTTATAATTCCACTAACAGGTGACCGTGGAATATTTAGTAGCAAGGACATTTCATGGATGGACTTATTGCACAGGTGGCAACCTATCACGGTACCACGCTTGACTTCACTGAGCTCCTGAGAGCGACCCATTTTTTCACAAATGTTTGTAGAAGCATATTACCATTCTAAACAACGAATCATACTGTTACAATGAGGATATACAGGTACTGCTATATTTGAATACATTTACATTTAAAGTTAACCAGAGTCACTTGATCTACTGATGCGTTCCGTTGAAGGAAACATCTATCATAAATAAGTTATTAGTATATCTCTCCTAAAAGGTGGTCATCTTCATCTCACTTACCGGAAAGACGCAACACAGCCATTACAAGGCCAGATAAAGATGAGAGCATCCTTGGGAGAACTATGGAAAGCACATGCATGTTCCTCATCATCTTCATCATCACATGATAATACCATCATCTCAGACAGGTGTACTCGATGCTTTAACCTGAAACTAGTGCCGGACCTGAAAGACAGGGATACCATATATGTACGATTTATTCAGTTAGTATACAAATGGCAGTAGTTAAGCCATAGGCAACATCTATTTCCTGAACCACATAATACCAAAAGTCATAACCTTCTTTTAAGAGGTCCAGCAAAGCTGAATATTATGATATAAATAATGAATCCAAAGTACAAGTTGCAGAAATGAACCACTACTATTTAAAGCCAAATGCCAGGAAGGAATGATAATCTACATACTTGGTGTGCAAATTATCATTAAAAAGCAGTGTGTTGTGTGTGGAGGGCCGCTGAGAGATGCTACTCGAGCAGCACAGCTCTCTGGTCGAGTCATCCATGACTCCTCACTACTTGTCTATTCATTTCACTGCTCGAATCACATCTCTCACTCCCCTCAGTGCCCAGAAGCCGGTATAATGTGTAGGAGTCGGAATGCTGCGAGTTAAGATTTGAATACTTTGCAGCAGACCTCCACACATAACACACTGCTTATTAATGATAATTTACATAGCTAGCGTGGGGTGTAAATTATCTTTTTTTGGTTTGGCTTTAAATAAACTTTTGCCTAAAAGATGTATTACTGTACCTATTGCAGTACAGATACAGTCATTTGTGCACATTGTTACATATTTCATTAAGAACTGACATGCTTCATTAAACATTGAACATATGTAGTAACATATATGATACTTATATCATGTTATTTATAAAGCACAGCGGTAGGTTTTACAAATGTGCATTACATTCAAGTTGCTTTGGGACATGAATAATTTGCTTTGTGACTTATTAAAGTCCTGTAACCAGCCTCGCCTCCAATCATAGAGTTTACTCTGCAGTATCTAGGCTTCGGTATAAATAGACCCCCTATGAGTGAGTTCCTAAGCTGGCACACATTCTCATTCTGCAGGAACTGTTTTAGCATACACTAATGGAATAGAGCCTTTTCCATGACCAATCCACAATACTTCATTATAGCCTGGAACAAAATCTATAACACATATCGGCAGTAAAATCCGTCTCCAATAGATTATCCACTGTTCTTTATAAATAGCCCTTAGGAATGAGTTCCAAAGCAGGCTCAAATTCTCATTCCTCAGGACTCATTTTAGCATACATTAACTCCCCATTCACATCTCTGCAAAGCAACATCACATCACATGTTGTGCAGGGCATTTTTAGTGCATTGCCTAGGGCAGGCCATTGATTTGCCTACTGCATCTAAATCACACTAAAAGAATTGCATGACACTTATTTTTAAATCGTATTGACCCTAATGAATGGTAATAAGTTACCATGCGCTGTGGAGCAATAGTACCTAACAGTGTGACGTGCAATCTCATCCAATGCGAAAATGCATATGTTCCTGCATTGCAGATGGTGTGAATGACCTAATAGAATAGAGCCTTTTCCTTGGACAATCTACAATGGTTCATGGCCTGTTAGAAAATCTTAGGATACACATTGTTGTGCTGGCAGTATAATTCTCCGATAGTGTACTGCAGCCATTGATAATATTATTTTTTCTGCCATTTCTCTGCAAAGTCAGTATTTGTTGTTACTGCTGGTCCAATTGAAGTAATATTGGTATCTGCTTGTTTTGATTACCCAATATTGGATCACTATTGGAAAACCTAAGGTCTCCAAACTGGTCAGGGATTTGAATCCACTGTGCTGACCAGGTGGAAGATACATGCTCAGGTGTTAGGCATACAGCATTTCTTCTGTGGAGCTCATTCTGCTTCCAATCATTTCCACCTATTATTTTCATTATGACCCTGATAATTATTATTAGAGTAACAGCCTTTGTATACTCTGTAGAAAGGATAACAAAAGTTAGTCTTAAGGTGACCATACACCTTACGATTATCGGACGATTTTCGTATGCGATTGCGTTTTCATCTATTCGTAAGGTTGATGGGCAGTGTACAACCGCAAATACTGTATAATCGATCGACTTTTGACTATCCAGCAGGTTAGAAAACTTCGGTCGATCGTACGATATTCGCAAGGTTAGTGGTGTTTGCTTACGTAAAAATTTGTACGATTAATCATGCGCAAACGAATATAGGTGCGGTCGATCACCACAATTCGTCCAGGTGTTTTTTCTAACTACAGGATGATTGAACCTTGCGATAATCGGGGAACGATGGGGCCGCCGTATGAAAATCGTACGATGGTTCGAAAATCGTACGACGATTGCAAGGTGTATGGGCAGCTTTAGAATAAGTCTTCACAGATATCACCAGCGCTTAACCTAAATACACTGACCAAAAAAAAAAGATTAATTTTCTAGGGGCATTTCCAACTAACGAGAACTAGGTGCAGGTTATTAGTAAATTAAAGATTTCATATTAGTCACCTCCTACAACCTTTCTCACTCTTATATTCAGAGAGCTTACTCACGTTTGCCTACGAAAATCAGTATGACTTGCTATTACAGAACAAACATTTTATTATGATATTAAACAGCAATATAGTTTATTAGATGTCACTCTGATTTTCTTTTTCTTCAACTATTGGGCCCTATGTACTTTCCACAATGTAATTTTGATACCGAGCTGTGACTAATCAGGGGGAGCAGTGGTCCTGGAGCAGACCACCCACAGCACATATTACAATGTAGGTGGAAAGTGTGAAAGTCAAACCTCAACTGTACAATGAGGTGGGAGAAAGGCTGCTTACTGACATTTCATTTCTCTAGTTCATCAGTGGTTTTGTGGTTTAAGAATATTTATCAGTACTGACCATCTTTATTCATGGCATTGCGTTTGCTGATTACGTAAGCTTGGCATAAATGGAACAATACGTTGTCCAAAGAAATGAAAGATGTAAAAACTATCTTCTTTAAAATAGCATATAGTTATGGTGGATTACTTATGCATCTACAGTATTCTGGGGTGGTGGTAAAAAGTGGTGTAAAAAGTTTGAACATCACTAACAATATGCAGGTATTGCAGGCTTTAACAGAAAGTGCTTAATTTATAAAACATGGCACTAGCACCCCTAGATGGTGCTGATGAGTATAGGAAATTGCTATACTCGGCCATCTAGGTGCACTAGTGCCCTACAACGGCATCCACCCAGCTATACGTTAGGCAGAACGTTTATAAATGAAGCCCTAAGTGGTAACTGTTGTTTGGGTGTTTTGAAAGCTTGGCTAGATAATATAGACGTTTTGGCAAATTCACAGTCATGGCCAGCATATGGTATGATTGATATATGTTCTTTATTACCTTTTGTTAAATGACGACTCCTCCCACAAATGCGGCTAACCCGTTAGCCTAAGACTTGTAGTCAGAGCCTGCTTACCTGGATCTGGCGGCGAGTGTGTGGCCCGAACCTGCCATCTGTGGCAATAGTCTCTCCCTCTGGAGTGGAACAATAACATATTAGACATAGACTTACAGACCTGAGGTGTGCCTTGGTCCGAGTGGTCGGTACACCAAATAAGGGGGCAAAACAATCATGTAGAAATAAAGAAACTTTATTCGTGACTACACGTCTAACAGCCAAACATGAAAAAGCTTTAGCCATCTCTGCGTGCGGGTTTGGAATATACCTGCTAAAGCATGCAGAATTCCACCTGCCTAAACGCTTGATGATATGGGCAGGTACCCCGTGGTGCGAGGCGGCCGGCGCTGCACCAATACGAAAGGAGTGCCCCGAATAGTGCCTGGGATTTTCACCTAACTGTCCAAGGAGCACGCGCACATATGACACGAACTGCTGAGAGGAGAGAGGTGCAACTGGGAAAGGCAAAAGAGGCCCGTGCGGCAAAACCTGAGACAAGTTGACCATGAGCCCGTCTAACACCGCAACCGGGCACCATGCGTTGCCGGACGGAAATAACCTTATGAGCGTGGGCGCTCCTACTTGGTTGGTCTTGCACCGCCCCAGAGTAAGTATGTAATGATCAGGGTAGCGGCACAGGTTCCCCTTGCACAAGGTAGCTGATTTAGAGCTGGAAGAGGTGAACTCCCCCGGCCTCAGAAAACCATAAAACGCTAGGTAAATGGCAGCTTTCAACGTTATGCTTTGCCTGACACCGAACGGTGAACAGTCCAGTATGACAGACATATCCCTGAACAGACAGCTGGATATGGGCAACCTATGGTGATCTGACTGTACCCCTTCTTTCTGTATGCCTTTGAGAATGGCCCGGACAGAATGCGCTGCGAACAGGGACGGCTTATCTGGATGGTCCAAGGCCAGGAAATGTTGTACCCCTGCCAAGTACAGACGAATGGTGTTGTGGGCAAGCTTGAGATCGGAATGGCAGTAAGCTATGAATGCCAAGACAAACCCCATGCTGCTGAAGTCTTCGTCGGGGTGTCTGGCCTGGAATGCTTTGAACGTTTTCCAGGCCACTTCATACGCCTTACGGGTATTCTTCGCAAGGGAGTTGTTAATTAACCTGGTGGCATTCAACCGATGTCTATCTAGTCCAGTACTAGGAGCTGGAATTCGGGAACGGGCGTGGGAACCTTGTCCGCTTCCGGGCACTGTAGAAAGAAAATATCAAATTTTAAACCTAGAAAGTGCGTCACCGCCACATTGCAAACCCCTGGAATATGCTGACATATGACGTTAAAATTGTACTGCAGTGACAGCCATGTGAGCCTGCGCAAGAAAGACATTATGGCCAGGGACTTGGATCTTCCTTTATTGACTATATCTGCCGTTGCTTGGTTGTCCGTGTGAAAGATGACTGTATGACCTGACCAGCATGGGCCCCATGCCCTAGCTGCCGCTACCAAGGGGTATATCTCGAAAAGTGATGACGTCTGGGAGAAGGCATCTATACCCTTTACCTCTGCCGGCCAGTGGCTGGTGAACCAGTGTGGGCCAAAAATGGCAGCAAACCCCGCGGACGGCGCCGCGTCCGTAACCACCTGTGGAGATGAGCGAGAAGCCTGGGGAATAAACATGGAAATCCCGTTCCAATTACGCAGGAATTCGTCCCACATCCACAGATCGGCTTGCGCTGCCCTATCGATCAAA